AGAAGAAATCTTTACTCATTAACTTGAGAATTTCTGCCAAGACTCTAAAGATTGCTGTTCAGTGCACTACGTCCTGTCTGGTGGAGCTGGAACTGTTTTACAGAGATTCATCAAGTGAAATTTCATACTTTAAATTTGTATAGCTAGTAGAGCCACACCCTTATGGGGGCTGAATGTGTGTGTGACCAGTTTCATGTTTGCAAGTAGAGTTTAAGAAACAAATAATTCCACTTCCAAATTAAGCATAACGATTTTGTTTTTGAACCTGTCGCATAAAATCCCCTCCCAGAAAAATACATTTAAGTTGTTAGTCGTGATGTGAAAAAGTTATAAATCGTTTCATGAAGCTTTGTAGGTGTTTTGAAATTTAAACTCCGATAAGCATGGCTGCCTGTAATGGAGCTCCTGATGAGATGCTGAGCATAAAAACCTTGTGTTTTAAAATTAAACAGGAATATGTTACTTGTGTGCATTATGGTTTTACATCTGACTGTTTCTCATCAGTGGTGGCGGTGGTGGCGGAGGTCCCGGTGGTCCTCGGCGCTATTCACGCGACTACGACCGTGGCTATGACCGTGGATACGATAGAGGTGGCTATGATCGCTATGACGACAGGGACTACTACAGATCATACAGGTAACACTCCCAGTTTGTCAGTTGGTATTTTGCTGATTATCATTGAAGAATCAAAGCTCTGTTCTCTTTGTCCTGCTTTTTGTTTTAATTCTAAATGTTACTGGTAAGAAAATTTGTTTCAATTTTAGACGAAGATCTCCATCACCATACTACAGAGGAGCATACAGATCTCGGTCAAGATCCCGGTCTTATTCTCCTCGTAAGTCCAAATATTACCCGCAGTCGTCTTAAAACGTTGGCTTGTTTGTAACTTGTAGGGTTTTTAACTAACGGCTGCTTTCTTTCACAGGTCGCTATTGAGCAGATCAGGAAGACATAAATCCCTTTTTTTCCATGGACAGACGAGGCGTTTCTCCTAAAGATTTGACTTTCTTGTAGATATCATATTCTTAAGGTGATATATTGCTTTCTTTAATGTGGAGTTTCATGGGAAAAATTTGTGCAAAGTCCTGAGAGAGCAGAATACCAGCAGCGTAAGCTTAGCAATGTACTGATGTGAAAAGTGTTGGCAGAAAACCTTTTCACCCGTTTCTGCCCCTGTGGTAGTTATCCCTCTGCACAATGTGAAACTTGGAAGATGCTCGTCTGCTTATTCTCAGCTGGTTAGTTTATTGTGTAATTTGGAGCTTAAAAATTTCAACCTTGGTTGAATCTTTGTGATTCATTAGGCACTATTGTTCTCCAGAGACACTTTTTTTTTTTAACTTCAGAGAACATTCAGTGTCTGGTCATGACAATATACTCCTATTTAACAGACATTTCTCATTCAACTCCACATTAAAGAAACCAAACGGATGATGATGACGATGATGATCACCACTCTTCCTCTTCCCTATCATTAATCAGTGAAAATGGAAAAACACATTTGAAGCAGTGTGTCCTTGTTTTAAATTTTAAATGTACAGGCCAGTGTTGTTCTAACTGGCGTGTTAATTTATGGGGTTTTCTTGTGTACAAACTGAGTGAGAATTCAGCAAAATTTAAACAAATTAAAAGGGAATAGTTTTCTTTTCCACCAAGACTCGTGTCGTTTCTGAAGACTCTGGCATTCTTTCTCTCTTATCCTAAAAACCTTTTTTTATGAATATGCTTTAGATATATAATTTACATACAGCAAAGTCTGCGTTTAACTTTTAGCTTAGAAATATTTTTAAATGGTGACAAATTTGAGCTTTTATTTTCTCTTTTGGTTTTGACATGTTTGGATTTTTGCACAGAAAATTAACTGTTGTAAACTATGCAGATGAGTTTTAATCAGAATTTATGCAAAGTTTGTAAAACTCATGAAACAATTTGACATTTAGGCTTTGCTTTAAAATACAATTAAGACCTTCCACACTGGTTTGGATTGAGTTTCTATGTTCATTCCCTCCTGATTCATGAAAGTAGTGATATTTTCTATGATTTGGCTGGGAAGCTGGCATTTCAATAGCTGGATAAACGGCAACTTTTAAGAGTTTTTGTGAGGATTTTGAATTTAATCTTCTGAAACTGGGAAAGAAAAAAAATGTGTCCATGTGAGACATGATGCATTTGCTCACTGGATGGCTTTTCTCATAATCAAGTCACAGGTAAATTCACCTTCACAGCCATGAGATCAGGTTATTTTCCTTACCCAGTTCAAATTGATGTTTGCTGCTGCTCACATGAAGAGAAACAAGCTTCATCAAACAAGAGGAAACTGAAGTTCAACAACTACCCCTGCTGGTCACTGTGAACCTCTGAAAAGTCCTCAGAAGGGTGTTGTAACCAAAGATTAATTTGACCAAGATAAGGTACAAATGATCAGTTTTGTTCTTTCTGGCTGTTGTAGTTCAGCTCTAAGACACATGTTTTTTGTTTTTTTTTGTAGCAGATTAGGTGAATTGTCCTTATTTTGCTGTAAATGTGTACCTTTTAAATGAAACCAACAAGCAAATTCTAAGGAAGACTAGTTTGGTTTCATTTTACAGGAAAGTGGACAGACACCATATTTAAACTGACGCACCAGGAGGAAGTAGTGTTGAGAAAGTGTGATTTCCTTCAAGTCCTTTCTCAATATCCAAATAGTTGTTTTATATGTTCAGAAATGTACATTGTAATTATTTGCATATTTGTGGAAAGTTCAGTTTTTTCCAATTTTGGCTGATTAAACCAAAGCTGGAGGTAACGAAACATGATAGGGAATGAAAGATGTTAAAAAAAAAAAAAAAGAATTATGTGCTAACAAAAGCTGCTGCAAGTTTTAAACCTTTTACTATAATATTCAGTGTTCGGAAAGTGTGTAATATACGCAGGCATTGCAGCAGTCAGGAGACAGAAACCACCCGTTGCACTGCTGGCCACACCTTGGAAATTAATTTCCATGTTCCACCACAAGTCCACATGTATGTGTGTCTCCACGTTCCTCCAAATGTCGCATGCATTTCCATTCGGGGTGGAAATAATTTGCACAATCTGAAAGCCCAGTGACCCAATTTTCAGAAAACTGCCTAAAAGCAGAAATTTGTATTTTTGAGTTTTATTGGGGGTTTGGAGCTTGCTCTTTCCATTTTTAACTGTTGATTTTTTTGACTGGCAGCAAAAAAAACAAACAAAAAAAACCCCAAAAACAAAGACCCCACAATAACTGAGCGTGTGTGCATGCCATTGGGAAAGTAAAGAGCTGTTTTGTAAATATGCCACAGTTTGGACATTCCTCTGTTCATACACTGACGGAAACAAGGCAAGAGAGAAGGAGCTGGTCACTCCTGCTGCTGGCACTTTCTGCACTACAGTGGGGTGGCAGTAATGCTCCGAAAGCTCAGGGAAAGAAGTCACATGTAAAGAGAAAAGAATTAGGCTCCTCCCCTTGGGTAACTAGGTACAAGACTACACAACCATGCATGAGCACAGCTGCCACAGCCTTGCAAAGCTTTTGTTTGCAGTCCGCCTTAAAACATGCTTCCCTCCCAAACACACCCATTTGCAAACACTTACACAACCGCCACAGCAAATAAAAGGATTCATGTGTACAGCATCGAGTGGCTCCTTCAAGAATCCCCTTCTGTTCTTATCAGCATTTGGCTTTTCCACCATTTAGGCTGTGCTCAAAAAGGGATTTAGAGACTCTCAGCTATAAATCTAGTTTTCTTTTAATTATTATTTCTCCCAGAGCAATATGTACAAGGACAGCAGTGTGGTTTCACTTTCTTTATTGCCTTTTTTTGGTCCGTGTGTTTGTTGAAGGAATGCTTTTGTCTGTATTTCAATGTAAATACTACAAAAATCAAATATTTCTCAAACAGGTGCTGAATGCAGTGAAAGGATCCCAGAAATCCATATTTCTGGCTCCCTCATAAATAATTAAAAGCCTCAACTGAGGGAGGGATCATTGGTTTACTGGTTTAAGTCGACAACGATTTGAATTTTCCACACAGCAGCTCCTATTTACTTCCTCCTTCTCCGCTGGCACAAGGGGAGGGACTGTCAAAGATCCCTGGTCTGACGACCTTAAAGACTTCAGAGTTGGACGCTATATAGAATTTAAACTCATTGAATGTAGTGTAATAAAAGTTCCTTGGAATGAGTTCATATTCATAAATCTTTGTATGAACATAGGACTGGTTAAAGTTCCTGAGAAAGTTAAAAAATATATATACATGACCTATGTGGAGTGGGTTACTCTTAGAATGACAAACGTTGCTCATAATAGCGTCCACCGTCCAATCCACCCATTATCTACACTTGCATATGTTTTCAGGGACATGAACATGTGCTAATATATTGGCATTAAAATCTATATTATAGCCATGAACTTGGGTGAGGTGCAGCATTTATTGACTTATCGTCCATTGTCCCCCTTTTTGGGCCTTCAAATGAGATCAGGATCACATATTTATTTGAAAGAAATGAACACAGTTTCAGTATTTTAAAGTCACAGTCTGTAAATGTTGTATGGACTTTAAACAGCTTGTACTAATTTTTTTTAATTAATAACTAAAAGAAGCTAATTATTTGAACATACACACTTGACAACATTCACTTACATTATAAAATGTAAAGAAATAAAAAAATGCAACGATTTAAACATAAAAAAAAAATAAAAATGGGGCGAGGGGGAGTCTGTTGCCACCGTAAACCCTATAAAGTTCATGTCAGGTTAAACTTGTCCAATTTTGTTGTAAAACCTTAAAATTATTAGTGGCCCCCCGTAGAGCCGCCCTTTCAAGACTTTCTGGAAACGGCCCTGCACTTCCCTTCTCTTCTCACTCCAAACCAAGCCAAGCCCCTTACTCCCATGCAACCTGGAGGCCCTTATTATGATTTGATGAAATAACCCCCCTCTGCCTCCTTTAAGCCCATCCCTTTCGCAGAACACAGCACAGTCATCACCATGCCCCTCTGTACGCCGGACGAGCGGCACATGCACCTCCAAACATTTTTTCTTGTGATTTTTAAGGGAGATTTTGTTTAGAGGCGGCGCTTGTTGGCTCCGGAGTAATAGCGTCGTAACGACACTTTTTTTTTTCTTTTTCCCCCCCCCCCCCCCCCCCCCCCCCCCCCCCAGTCCCTGTTGAAAGAGTTTGACCAGGGCCAGAGTTGGTCGGTAACTGGGGGGTCGCTCATTTAGCTCCCTATTATCCTGGAGGACGATTTTTCTTTCCCCCAAAATACATTTTATTTTATTTTTTTTATTTTATTTTTCAAAAATTGGTTTCTGCTGCTCTCAATATCGTCTCACTCCTGAGATCTGGCAAGCCTTTCGAGATTTTCCCCCCTTCTTCTGCTCTTCAGATCATGAACAAACTATATGTTGGGAATTTAAGTCCTTCGGTCACAGTCGAGGACTTGGAGCAGCTCTTCGGGGAGAGGGAGCTGCCAGCGCCCGAGCAGGTCCTGCTAAAATCCGGCTATGCTTTTGTGGACTTCCCCGACCAGAACTCGGCCATAAAGGCTATAGAGACTCTCTCTGGTAAGTGTGTGGATTTTTGATATTTGCGCTGAGTGATGCTTGCTCGCTGCTGACAGGGGAAATCACACTACAGTAGGTCAAAGTAAAAAAAATGTGTAATATTTATTATTTTGGTTTCTTTACAAAAATATATATATAAATAAATAAAATAAACAACAAATCTGTGTTTAGCACGGGACGGTGTTTGTGATTAGAGTTGGAGATATTGGATAAATGATCGATCCCACGCAGGACACACTCGAAAGATACATATATATTTTTTAGAGGAAAACACCCGCGGTCTTAACGCAAATTTCCACGCGCAAGAATCACCTTTTAATTTCTCCTTTTATTTTAAGGAGATTCCGATAGTGCATGGCGCTACTTTCTTTTTTTCCTTTTTTTTATTTCGCGATCAGCCGCTGGAATGTATATGGGATGGTCTCTGACTGACTGACTGGGTTCGGGTAGGCATAATTATTTTTCACTTATTTTTCGTCCTGATTTTATTGACGAGCGCAGCGCGGCGCCAGCGCGGAAAACTTGTCGGATCCCTGTTCCCCCGGTGTCCGGCTATGTTTTTACGAGGTGTCTTGGAGGTGGGTCACGGGGGTCCGGAGGAAAAGGGCTCATAAACAGGTAGCTGAGTGTTGGAGGAGGAGGTGGAGAGAGGGGGGGGGGGGGGAGGACGAGGTGAGACGCTAATTCCGTGCTGCGCCAGGCCACTCGCTCCTTCTATTTGTACGTGATAGTAACCAAAAAAAACAAAAAAACAAACAAAACAACAACAACACCGTGGAAGCTCCTACCTAATATCTGCTTGGCGTTGTATTCTTTACAGGAGAAACATATATCCCCCCTCATTGCAATGCTTGTGGGAGTGGAAAGCATGGCTGCCCATTCCCCTCACCTCCCCACCACCCCCACTCATACACTACTACTATATAAGCTCATTAAGCTTCGTTATGGCGCACGAAATGCCCTTCCAAAGTGGTTGGAATAATGCAAATGTGTGTGCACTGTGTGCGCCACGATGCGCCCCGAGTACTTTCTTTAAAAATATGAATGGGGACGCACCTACTTCATGAAGTGTTGGCGTGCATTGTTGCAGACACATGACTTAAACTGTCCATTCTCGCCCCTGCAGGTAAAGTTGAATTGCACGGAAAGCTGATAGAGGTAGACTACTCTGTTCCCAAAAAGCTAAGGTAGGCGCTTACACTCACACCCACACACCTATACTGTGCTGTTACCCCATGTCTGAGTGAGTGGGTGAGTAAGTGAACGTGTGTGTGTGTGTGTGTGCCTGCGTGTGTGACCTGTAGGCTTCCGCTGTGAAATATAGTAAGCCACATTTCCCTGTTTTTCTCGTGAGATTTCTGCCAGCCTTGTTGTTGTAGTTGCTGCTGCTGCTGTTGTTGTTGCTTGGCGATGAAAGCTCCTAATTGTGCGTGTGGCCAAACAAACAAAAGAAAGAAAAGCGACAAAAAAGACACAGTTTAGTCCCAACATCCGCAGAACACAGCCGTGGCTGCTGCCATGTTGCGTGATCTGCAAGCGAGGGCCATATCCCACACGCAAACACTCACACACACATGCAGACATGGCACGTTTGGGTCCTGATTGGGTTTATTCTGTTCGTATGTGATGTGAATATGCATTTCTGTGTATGTAGACGATAAGGTTAAGTTTCATTATGTGCTGGAACTCTATCGCAGAGCGAGTTGCAGTCACTCGACCTTCCTCTCTGGATACTATATAATCTATGGACTTGCTGCTTTTGTGGGCTCAAAAGCATATAAAAAAGCCTTAAAGTTTTTTTTGTTTTTTTTTTATGTTTAGAAAACACCTTCTTTAGGTGTGTGACGCCGTTTTTACGTAGCTAAATTAAATACATGTAATTATAATTGCTTATCTTTAAGGGGAAAAAGTACATTGCGTGACAAAAAAGGTAAATATTCAACCCCCTTTGTGCAAGAACACGTGACCCCTACTTCATGTGAGTCCTCCCCCTTTTTTAGTGCAAAGCCACACTTTCCTGTATTAGAGCCCATTTTCTTCGCCTTGCAGCCCCTTCATAGAGCGTTATTTACGTTTAGATTGCACTACAGTCGAGGAAAACGTGCAGTTTCCCCGCTTTACGGCTCGATCTGCGAGGCGCAAACATGGTGTCAAAGCCTGCGCCACTCCCCTGAGTTAATGTGCACGTAGGCCGTGGAAAAGCTGGAGGAGCCCTCCTATAATGGCTGCCATGATGATGGCCCTTCGCTCTGCTGCTGCCTGCACGGCTATAGGCGGACACCAGCACGCAGCAAAATGTCCATACAGTGCATGTGACTGGCCGCATGTGTCCAATCGGCGGTGTGTATGTGCAGCTGCTGGACCCGCAGAGCGTGTTTCCCTGTAAGAAGGGAAAAAAAGGGGGCCTTAAAGCGAAATCTTCGCCATGTCTGCGAGGTCCATGAGCGGGGCAGCGGGTGATGCGTACAGGTGTTCATTTTGAAAACACAGTCAACTGGATGAACTGGAGCGTTCACAACTTTTAATTAAATCAAATACAATGCTTTATCACGTAAAATAATAATAATAATAATAATAATGCGAAAGATTCTAAATTAACCTCTGAATTTGTGGATTTACTTTTAACAACAGAGCTCTGAAAAAAAAAACGTAATTAATGTTACATTTTGATTTATTTTAATGCAGTTGCGTTAAGTGTGATCAACAAACGTTAAGGATATTTGCACATCATTATATTTAAATTGTCTAATTTTGTAACGTGATTACCTTTAGGTTAAATTGTAAAAAAGCACAGCGTAACGTGTGTTTAGTTTGCGTTTGCGAAAGTGGAAACCAGACTGATCATTACTTTTCTTCAAGAATATTTTCAGATTAGTTTGTGTGCAGTGTGTAACTTTGGAACAAGTAATCACATTTTAACTGAGCTTAAATGACACAAAATCATATCTTGGAGTGATTTAACCTTTTTTTTTTAGCTAAAGTAGAACTTAAAAATAATTATCAGTTTACTTTAAGTATTTTTGCTCATTAGTGTACTTAAAAGGTACTCTCTTGGAACCACTAAGAATGTTTTAGTTTAACTTAAATTGCAGAAAAACAAAGGCTGAGGTGCATTTAAAATAACTTTATGTAGTCACCTGTACTAAACTGTGTATAAATGTACAGTTTATTGTTATTTTGAATACATCAGCAGTACGATGCAAATCAGCTTCGTTCTCTAAATACATTTAAAATGCAGTGTAAGTGCATGTTTTATTTTTTAAGCAATATGCTTAAGGTATGTTTTTATTTGTTCAATTTAATTTAAAATATTTAAATTGTTGTCGTCTCAAGGTCATCACTTCGTTTGTAGAAGAAAAAAAAAAACAGGTCCAGTTCATGCCCAGTTATACAGAAATACACAATAAATCAAATCCACGCTAATATGGATTTAGTGGCACAATCCCATCTGTTTCTATATACAACTTACAACAATAAGTTGTAAGTCCATATTTTATATGGAAGACATATGATCTTTTTGACCTTCAAACCATTCCAACTAAAATACATTTGCTCTTCAGTAATTAATAGAAGTTATTTCTTTTACTATACACATTAGTTACATATATGTGTGTACTTATGTGTAAACAATAAAATATACTTTATAAATGATATTTAATTGCACTATTTGGAGACTGAAATCTATATTTACACATTGCTGGTGAGGACTTGATTATTGTAATTTATGCAGGTTTTCTTTTAAAGTTATAATTTTTTGGAATTGTAATTTTATGTAAAATCCTGTATTTAAGTACAGGATTTTGACAAATCCTGTACTTAAATAAGTGTAAAAGAATTGTAACTTTAAACCTACTTCACATGTCGTGAATGTATCATTAAATGAGCGTGGAGGGATGAGGAATCTTAAATCCTATTTGCTACCTGAGTTTTTTTTTTTTTTTTTTTTTTTTTATTTTGGCCCCCCTTGTTTTTGGATGTTTTTTTT